GGATTTTTTTTAATAATGAAAGAAAACCTTACTTGATGTAAAGTTTTGCTAGCTGCAGAAATTTCTATTAGATAACTATCAGTATCATCAAAAGAGTCTTCAGCTTTAACTTCCAGCAAATTTGGATTTCCAACAACTACTTCCACGAGTGGTATTTCAAGTATTTGAACACCTATGGAAACAAGGCCAAGGGTTAGCATGGAATCATGAAAATTTTAAGCAATTTCAGAACAATTTGCTAATCCAGGATTCTGGAACATCTACAGAAATCTATTATGAAGACTACAAAATGGCTACAGATATAGTTAGAGATTTATATGGAGTTAGCTTTAATAGTTCTCAGAAAAATATAACTTCGTGAATATTTTCTTCTATTTTTTTTCATGGAAATGTTGTCCCCTTCTGCACTTCATTCCTCAGCCAGGTTCTCAAATGCAAATAAAGGTGACTTGGATGGTACAGGTCACACTGAGATGGATAACTCAGCAGAGAAACTGAGAATACATGCTCAATTTAGAGAGCTGTCCTCAACTGTTGCCAAGGGGAAACCAGGCAGATGAAGGAGTTTGTCCTCAGGCGGATTCCTGCCTGCAGAAACCCAGATTTCTGCCCTGTTTGCAACCTCTCCACACTGAGACATTTACTGGAATGAGAGATTTGAGAGACCATGTACTCTAACTGCCATCTTTACTACAATATATCAGGGCTGAGAAGTAGTAAATGATTTGCCTGAAGTCTCATTTAGAGCAGTTCCCCTTAAACCAAAGTGCTCTGGCCAGTACTTCCTAAACTATAACTGAAGATTTTGTTAAAACGCCAATTATTATCCAGCAGGTCTGAGGAGGGGGCTGAGATTCCACACCCTGCCTCCTCCATCCCTTTATTGAGTCTATATTTACATTGTATATGTAATATTAAATATTACATTACAATATTAAATATATTGTATATATTTAAATTGTATGCTGTGGTGATTTGATGTACTCATACATCGTGAAATGATTACCACAATTAAGTTAATTTATACAGCCGCCACTTTACATAGTTATGTGAGAAGAACGCTTAGTTACCATGCTGTGTATAACATCCTCAGCACTTACTTATTTTACAACTGGAACTTTGTACCCTTTGATCAACATCTGCCCATTTTCTCCCTCCTCAATCCTTGGCAACCAGCATTCTATATTTATATGAGTTAGACTTTTCTCTCAGATTCCATGTATAAGTGAGATCATATATGATTCATTTTCTCTGTGTGCTTTATTTCACTTAGCATAATGTCTTCCGGGTTCATCCATGTTGATGCAAATGGCAGGATTTCCTTCTTTTTAAATAATATTTCATTGTGTATATATACCACATTTTTTGAAATAATTAATTAATTATTTTAAATAGAGGTACTGAGTATTGAACCGAGGACCTTGTGCATGCTAACCATGCACTTTACCACAGAGCTATTACCTCCCCTCCCCCTGACATTTTCTTTATCCATTCATTTGTTGATAGGCACTTAGGTTATTTCCACACCCTGGGTATTGTGAGTAATGCTGCAATGAACATGGAAGTGCAGACATCTCTTCAAAATATCGCTTTTATTTTCTTCAGATATATACCCAGCAGTGGGATTGCTGGACCATATGGTAGTTCTGTTTTTAACTTTTTAAAGAAACGTCTATACTGTTTTTCATAGTGATTGAATCAATATATTCCTACCAACAATGCACAAGGGTTCCCTTTACTTCACATCCTTGCCAGCATTTATTATTTCTTGTTTACTGATAACAGCCATTCTAACCAGTGTGAGGGTGACATCTCATTATAGTTCTGATTTGTATTTTCTTGATGATTAGTGATGTTAAATATTTTTTCATGTACCTGTTGGCTATTTGTATATCTTCTTTGCAAACATGTCTATTCAAGTCCTTTGTACATTTTTAATTGTATCATTTGATTATTTGTTTGTTATATGAGTTCCTCTTATATTATGTTAACCCCTAATCAGATATATAGTTTGCAAATATTTTCTCCCATTCCATAAACTGTTTTGCTTTGTTTCCTTTGCTATGCAGAAGCTTTTTAGTTTCATATAGTCCTATTTGTTTACTTTTGCTTTTGTTGCCTTTGATTTTGGTGACAATCCAAAAATATCATTGCCAAGAACCATGTCAAAGGGCTTTCCCCCCCCTTTTTTTTTTTAGGAGTTTTATGGTTTCAGGTCTTACATTGAAGTCTTTAATTCATTTAGAGTTAACTTCTGTGAGTAGTGTAAGACAGGGGTCCAGTTTTATTCTTTTGCATATGGCTGTCCAGTTTTCCCAACACCATTTAGTGAAGAGACCATCCTCTCCCTAGTGTGTGTTCTTGGCTCCCCTGCAAAAATTATTTGACTGTGTAGGCATGGGTTTATTTCTCAGCTCTCTATTCTGTTGTATTGGTTTATGCGTCTCTTTTTATTCCATTACCATAATGTTTTGATTAGTATAACTTTGTGGTATAGTTTGAAATCAGAAAGTGTGTTGCCTCTAGCTTTGTTCTTTTTCAAGATTGCTTTGGCTATGCAAGTCTTTTAATGTGATACACCATGTTAATAGAGTGAAAGGTAAAAAGTGTTGATTATCTCAATATTTGTAGAAAAAGCATTTGACAAAATTAAACATCCATTCATGAATAAAACTCTTAACAAATTAGGTAAGAAAGAATGTACCTCAACACAATATAGGCCATATGTGACAAGTCCATAGCTAACACCACACTCATACTCATCATGCACAAAGCTTAAAGCTTTTCCTCTAAGATTAAGAACAAGACAAGGATGCACACTCTCACCACCTCTATTTAACATAGTACTGGAAGCCCTACACAGAACAATTAGGCAAGAAAAAGAAAAGGCTTCCAAATCAGGAAGGAAGAAGTAAAATTGTGTCTGTTTGCAGATGACATAATCTTATATTTAGAAAACCCTAAAGACTCTACAAATAAAAAAAAACTGTAAGAATAAATAAGTTCGGCAGAGTTGCAGGATACAAAATCAGCGTACAAAAAGAGTTGTGTTTCTATACACTAACAATGAACTATCTGAAAGAAAAATTAAAATGATCCCATTTGCAATAGCATCAAAAAGAACAAAATATTAGTAATTTAACCGAGGACATAAAAGACCTGTATTCTGAAAACTATAAGATATTGGTGAAAGAAACTGAAGAAGACACAAAGAAGTTGAAAGATATTTCATGTTCATGGACTGGAAGAATTAATATTATTAAAATGTCCATACTGCATAAACCCATCTACAGATCCAGTGTAATTTCTATCAAAATTTCAATGGCATTTTTTTTCATAGAAATAGAAAAGAAAACTCTAAAATTCTTATGGAACCACAGATGACTCCACAGTTCTAACAAGCGCCTAAATGATGCTGATGCAGCTGGTTCCCGGACAACACTTTGAGTAGCTTAGACCAGGCTCTTCTTCACAAAGAGGCAACTGAATTTATTTGCTGATTATTATTCTCTTCCTAAAACTGAATGAATATAACTGCACCATTTAACAACTAATTTGTTATATTTTAAAGCTAAAATGATCAGAAAATGTGGCTTTTGTGCTGGAATATAGAAAGGTAACAAAGAAACCGAATTTTAAAAATCCAGAAATGGTCGAAAAGAGAGGTAAATTGCATTGTTTTTAAAAATTGGTGAAGAAAGGATACGTTACTCAATAAGTGATGTCGGAACAACTACCTTCACCACCTACAATACACCAAACCAAAATGTAGATAAATTAAAGAATTCAATGCACAGTTAAAACCATAAAGTAAAAACTCAAAAATTACTTGATGAAAATATGAGCAATTAGTCATATAATCAATGAGAAAGGATCCTAAGAGTTTCAGAAAGTTTTTCAGACTATTTAGTCCACAATATTGATGGAAATAGAAATAGATGTCTCCAATTTTTTCAAAACCTGTAGTTTTCATTTTTGTAAGTAGTGTTTGGTTCTGTTTTTCAAGTAAGTCTTTAAAAAATAGTATTTTTGTCCTTTCATTATGGTTCATCTATCTTCTTTTATCTTTTAAGAGTTTTACATACTTTATACTTTACAGTTATTTTTATACTGTTTTTCTGATTTTTCTATTATCCCAAGATTAAAATTTTCTGCTTCCTATGCTTGTTGACTTTCTCTTATGCTGGGTCATTTCTTTTTTTTTTTTTTTTCTTTTTTATTTAGGGTCATGTCTTTACATGATTTTAAAATTCTTTTTCTTAATTCATGTTCAATAGAGATCAATTTTTCTGTGGAAGTGCATGTTATCTGGTTTATGAAAGCATTCCTACAAAGGGTTTTGTGCTTTCTTATCCTGAAGACCAGGTGTTATAATTATTTCTCACCTTATGATTCTTGTATCTGGTGGGTAACCTCTGGTGTTACATGGTCTTGGGTTTGGGTTTTTTACAGGAAATTCTTTGAGTCCCACGGAGATGGTAATCCCCCTACACCTCCTTCTTGGGTTGTTGGGTAGTGTTTTCCTAACCCCCTCATCACAATTTGATAGTCCTGGCTTTACTTAATGTTCCCAGTTTCAACTTTCTACTACAAGGTAGAAATGACCAAAGGTCCCTATCTCCTGCCAATGTTTGGGCATTAAAACCCACCCCACTGCCTTTACGGCCTATATCTGAGCCTCACAACCTTCCAGGAGCCACACGTTAGCCAACTTCTTTGGCTTTGTGTTCCCTCTTCATTTCTGGTGACAGGATTTTCTTCTTTCTCTCCCTTCCTTCCATCTTTCTCTCCTCACTTTCTAGCTAAGATATTTACTACAATTTTTGTGTTACTTTTTCCAGTATACCAATTCCTCATTACCTTTAGTAAGTTCTATATTACCTTTACAATTAAAAAAAAACCTGGAAAAATGGAGAAAAGTATGAAATTCTATCTTAAAGTCATTTTTTGGGCTTAAAATAAATACTTGAAATCATTGTAATAATACCGAGGTAATCATAACAGTTTTCTTTTCAGAGGGCAGCAAAAATCTAAACTAAAATCCTGTGTAAATTTGGGGTGGTAATTTAACTTCATTTTCCTCATTTGTTAAAAAAAAGGATTATAATCTAGCCTTTTAGGGTTGTTATAAACGTTAAGTTTTAAAATGTATGAAAATCATTTAATACAGAACTTCATATAAGTTCAATAATCAGAAGCTAACATTGTTATTGATAAAATGCCACTACTATGGTATCTAAAGATAAAGGAAATATCAAAGAGTATATTTTACATTCAAGAAAAGCAACAACATCTCCTTTGATATTTCCCAATAAAAATAAACTTACTTTTTGTGTTAGGCATGACCTTAATTTTCAAGGAGTTCGATTTCCCCAGATCAATGTACTTCAGGACATTGAGGGATAGTAAATCATCATGTTTTTGAAACCAATAATTACACGGTTTTGAATATATGTTCCATGTTCGTCCATTCTTTTGCCCAAAGTTGTATAATAACCAGGAGTCTTTCCAAAAGGTCATATTGTTGGGTACTCTTCCAGGCATGGTAGCAATAGCTAAAGCATTCTCATTATCTAAAATTCTTGTGATCAGGAAGCTGCTGTAACCAGGAATCACCACCGTCTTCTCTACAT